GCACAGGCAGGCATCCAAACCCAAATGGGATCTAACATGGGAAGATCCAAAGTGTCCCTGCAGAGGTGGCTGGTGGGAAGTGACTCTGTTCTCCTTCAAAAGGTCTCAGGTTGAGGGTGGTTGGCGAATTTTCTGTGATGTCACAGCAAGAAACAGGAATTTTGGGTGGTTTAAAGAGGATAAATTCAGATCACAAGGAGGTTTGGGACACCAGGAACGGAGAAGCTCTGGAGCAGCTTCCCAGCGACACCGCCCGTGAGAGGAAATGCAATTTATGACCAATTTATGACCAGATGGGAAAAGATGGGACTTCAAGGGACATTATGGGGTCCACTCTGCTCTTCCCAGACTTCTGCACCCCCAGGAGTCGCCGCAGGGAGCAGGGGAAGGTCACTGCAGGAGTGAAACCAGTCTGCAGGGGAAGGGCAAGGAGCTCAAGGTCTTCTGTGGTTTCCAGCAGCACCAGCACTGAAACATCCCCCAGCCAGATGAAAATTGAGACTTCAGGTGCCCAGGACAAAGTTCCACCCCTGAAGGATCCACTAACACCATTGGAATGACATCCCACTCCCTGAGCATCCTTCCCTGCCTTCCCCCCGAGCTCTTGCTGGAGGGCAAAGGATCATTAATTTTTTAGTCAAGTGGAGTTTTACAGACTTGAGGAATCATCATTTCCCTTTGTTTTTAAGGAGGGCAAGGAAATTTTCCCATTTGACAGCATGAATAGCAGGATTTGCTCTAATTCTCACCTAATCTGGGCTCTGCACAATCATTAGTGTTATCACCAAAAGCCTTCATTTAATAGACCTTAACGAAAAGCAGCTTAGTTATCAATATAATATAATATTATTTTTTTTTCCAGTAGATTTAAGCTCTCTGTGCTTCAGGAATATTCCTCCACAAAGGTTAACATGGAAGAGATGATTCAATATCCCACAGCAAGTGCAGGAGCAAACAAAACCTAAATATTTCAAAAGCAGGGAGATAAGAAAAGTGATGTGACAATGTCACATCTCTGATCCCTCTTTTTTAAGTCTGGAAAAGCAGTTGTGGATTTTTGTATTTACCGGTTGAAGGGAGAGTTTCATAAAACCTGATTTAACTGCTAAATGCTGCAGGAAAGTCTTTGTGTTTAGAAATTCGTGTTTATGGACGGGGCTTGGAGCAACCTGGGCTGGTGGAAGGTGTTCCAGGGCTTTGGAATGAGATGAGCTTTAAGGTCCTTCCCAATCCAAACCTGTCCATGATTCTGTGTTCAATCCAAGACCAAAATTCCACTTTTCTCTGCTTTCCCATGGAATTGATAGGAAGAAATCTGGGATGTGTTTCCAAGTGCCTGGAGAGCAACTACACTAGAGGAAGTTTGTTCCCTGTTCCTGCCTTATCACTCAGTTTTCCAAGGAATTTATTGCAATGATCAGCTGGAAAATGAGTGAACAAGAGATTTCTGAAGTTGATCCTGCCTTTACATCAAATTTGGACTCAGAGCTTTAAGAAATCCAACCCTGATTAACTCTGGGAAAGCAAAATCATGGAATCATGACCAGGGTGTTTGTCCCTCAAAGGTGGGAGGTTTTTTCCAAGGAAATGACCTCAAGTTGCAACAGGAAACGTTTTGGTTGGATATGAGGAGAAATTCCTTCATGGAAAGGGTTGTGCAGCCCTGGCACAGCTGCCTGGGGCAGGAGTGGAGTCTCCATTCCTGGAGGGATTTAAAATCCGTGTGGATGTGGCACTTGGGGACGTGGCCTTGGCAGTGCTGGGTTGGGCTGGGATAATCCTAAAGGTCTTTTCCAACCTAAACAATTCTATAATCCTATGATTCTGCTTTGGACAGGACAGGAATCCCAGGAGATCATTCCCAGAAAGCTGAAATGTATCATGTCACCTCTTGGGTCATACCTGATGGATCACCTCAAAGTTCACCATGTAAAATCATTAAATCACAATTTTGGAAGCAGATTTATAAATGTCATAACTCTCCTGAGCATCCAACAACTTCCACTGCCTTATTTTCAGTGCCCCACTCAGGAATTTCCTGTTGGTCTTTATTTACTGCTTTTATTGCAGGCCACACATTCTGCTGCAAGGGGAACAAAAGGCTGCTCAGAGCAGACAGATAATTCCTATATTTCCATTTTTTAAAAAAAAAATTGGCCAGAAAAATCAATTTTAATGAGCTTTTTTAAAGCATTTTCAGGGCACTCACGAGGTAAGAAAGAGGCTCTGGCAGCTGTGAAGCGACACAGAGACACATTTCCTCTAAATATTTATACGGCTGCGAGATAAACCATCATCTTTAACAAATATTTTGGGATGGTTTCCTATAAAATGGATGCTCCAGGAGGGATGGTTTAGCAAAAAAAAAAGGCATTTGAGATGGAACAGCTTGTGCAGTAAAATTCCTTCTGTACCAGGGATGGAAAAAGCAATTGGAACCAGACAACTAGAAAATGAGGGTTGTGAGACAGTATTTGCAGAAAGAGCCGTTTTTAGGTTTGTTTTGAGTCTGGAACTTCCTAAAACATCTTGTTGCTGCCTTTTCTCTTCCTATTTTGAGGGATGGCTTGTGGGGGGAATTCATTAAGGGAGAGATTGGACGTGGGATTTAACTTGGATCCAGCGTTGTCTGACACCCTTCTGGTTTTTTGACTAAACGGTTCAATTTTGAGCTTAAATACGATTCAAAATGTTTTGGATTTAGCTGATTTTTTTTTTACCAGTTTGGATTTCTACCAATGAATAACAGCTTTAGAAATCAGAGCCTCTGAAAGCAATAATAGAAGAAGAGGAAAAGGCTTTTTGTCACAAAAAAAATGAATGTTGTGACTCTTCGAAGAGCCCGGGACAGCCCAAATCTCAGTTCCTGTAGGAACTGGACACCAGTGACTTGGCTCCATGGAAATTATGGGAAGATAATGGTTGGTTTTAATTTGGAAAATCAGAGTTGTTGAGGTCATGATGGTCTAACACATCTCTGCATCTCCTGGGCTGGTTGGTGTGGACATTCCTGGCCTTGCTCTGGCCAGTGAGAAAAGGGGCTTCCTTGTAACTGAGATTGATATAATTTTAACCATTTATTGATGATTCTCTGAAAGAAATACCAGTTTTGAGGAACTGTTAGACACCAGCTCAGTGATTATGGGGTCAGAACCACCTTGGGGGGGGGGGGCTGGGGGGGGAAGGGATGGGTGGAACCTCACGGAGGTGGGGTGGGGTTGTGTCCCTCAGGGCAGCCCTGGGACCCACTTGGGGAAGCCCTGGAGTGGCTGTCGGGGAAAACTGGAACACCCCACAGCTTCTGAAACCCCTCACCCAGCAGGGACAGTGAGGACACTGCCCTATAACACCCTATAACAGCTCCTGCAGCCCCACACCCAGCTCCCACTGGCAGAGACAGGGAGAACCCGGCCCCTCAGCCCAGCCTGGAAGCCCCACAGTGGCTGCTGGGTCAGATGGGGCCTGGAGGGGTTGGCCAGAGGGTCCAGAGCAGATAAAACCAAAGGCACATGTTTGCCACATGGCCCTGCCATGGGACTGGGGAGAGCTGATCTTCTCCAAGGTTCCAGTGGTAGCTGCATGATCTGTCTCTCCCTCTTTCTCCTTCTCTCTTCTTGCTGCCTCTGCTTCTCTTTCTCTGCTCCTTTCCTGATGCTTGGGGTGGTTTGGAGCTGGAGGGATCAGATCTTGATGGAAGTGTGGTGGAATCGGTTGGATTTTGCTTAAATGTTGTGGATTGTTGGGATTTTGCCTTAAGTGTTGTTGGTTTATTGGATCTTGCCTTAAGTGTTGTGGATGACGATGTGCTGAGTTAGTATTGGGGTGGAAGATTTTCAATCAGCTTGTGTGGTGCCCTTTTGAACTTTGACCAAGTTTCCTTCTTGAATCCCCTAAATTAATGAAGAAATCCCTTGGGAACAAACCCGTGGCTTATTCTCTTGCTGCTTTCTGGAGGCAGGAAAGAACCCTCTAGCTCCACATTGAAGGAAAGTCCTGGCCAATGCCATGAGCCGGCAGCTTCCAGGGCTTGGAGTCTTCCAAAGGGTGAGGGTGGGGGTGTTGATGTTCCCTCTGAAAGGCCTTTTAGCCTCAGCCATGATTGTTAGGGATACTTTTCTTTGCCTGCTTTTTGTACTTATGCCTCCTTGGCTTCCTCCATGCCACAGCAGGGAACTGGTCAGGGAGGATTAGTGTTTTTGCAATCTCCTGCCTTGTTTGGGGTGCTTTTGTAACCCTGAGGGAACTTGTGTTCCTTGAGAGCTTCTATCCCTGCCCAAAATTCTTATATTCTGATGCCCTCTGAGAAAAACTTTTGCAAACCAATCAATGCCCGTTTTTTTTTGCCTTTATTCATGTTTTGAAGTTGACTCTCAATGGACCACATGAAGGCAAACAAGCTGCAGGTTTGAGATGGGAAGCAAACATCCAAATAGTTGATGTTCTTGGGTCCTCCCAATTCAGTGACATTGGGAAGTTTACAACTTCTTTCAGCTCCTTGTGTTGAGGAATGGGAAGTCAGGCTTTCCTGAATGCAGCATGAAACAATGCCACATTCTTCTGTGCCTTGCCAGCCAAGGTGTTTTTGTGCTGTAGGTCACGAATTCCATGAAGAAATGATGGCAGGAAGGAGCCACAGCTTTTGCCTTGGCACAGATGCCAAGCCTTGCCCCCAGTGGCTGCAGCTGCTTTAGGGAATGGATTCCTTCCACGCTGGGGCAGGTTGGCCGGGCTGGGGGAGGCCCCAGGGCCTGTGGCAGTGTGTCACAGGGCCCTTTGTGACAGGGTGGCCGTCGCCCAGGGGATGGGACGGTGTCCTTTGTGACACGTGGTGATAAAGGTGTTGGCGGCAACGCGGCCACGGCACCGTGCTCGGAGCGGGCGACTGGGCAGGACGGGACAGAGCGGTGCTGTGAGGAGCCTCCTCACAGCCAACTCATTCCTTGTCGACCAGGAGCGTTTCTGAGAGCTTTCCTTCGAACAACTTCCCTCGAGGCCAGACCCCAGGAGTTGGGAACCAGGAGCTTTTCTCAGGTGACCCCACTCCCTGTGGGAGTGGCCCTCGAGGCCAGGCCACGGGCCTTGGTGACCCGGAGCTTTTCCGAGGAGTCACCAGTGCCTGTGGCAGTGGCCCTTGAGGCCATTTTCTAAGACTTTACCACCAGGGGCTTTTCCAATCCATCAGCAGCCCCTGTGGCAGTGGCCCTTGAGGCCATTTTTGAGACTTTGCCACCAGGGGCTGTTCCTACCCATCCCCAGTCCCTGTGGCAGGAGCCCCGCAGGCCATTGTGTCACCCTTGGCCTCCAGGGGTTTTTCCGAGGTTTCTCTCCCGCAGGTGCCCTCGAGACCAGACTGTGCCATGGCGGGGGGATGCTTCGGCCTGTGCCCGCTGCTCCGGAGGAACAGGAACAACAGGAGAGGCCCTGGAGCTGGCCCAGCACAGGAAGAGGAGGAGGAGGAGGTGCAGCACTTCCAGCCACTGCAGCAGGGTGAGTGCTGGAGCTGGGCCCCTTCCCGTCCCCTCTGGACATGCCCAGGGAAAGGGAGGGGGAAAGGGGGGCCAAGGCTGATCCCCCCAGCATCCGTGCTCCATCCCCTGGGCATCCCAGGGCTGGCCCTGCCTGTGGAGTGCAGGGCAGGGCTGTGTTCTCTGGCCTCTCCCGCGGCCCCTCAGCTCTGACTGCGCTCGCTCTTTGCCAGATCCAGGCCGGGACCGCCCAGAAGAGCAGGACCGCGCCCGTGGCCGCTTCCGCAGGGCAGTTCAGGTACCCGCAGCCATCCCCCCCTGGGCTGGGCCTGCTGTCCCTGCTCCGCCTGGCACTGCTGGCAGAGCACTCCAGGCCACTTCCCTCTCTTCCCTGCCCTTTCTTCTCCTGCAGAGGTTGCTGAGATTCGTGGGAGTTCGGCGCAGAACAGCCACGACCGCACCGCCCGAGCTCACGGCACAGCCTGACACCAGCGCAGCCGAGCTCGAGGCGGAGCCTGATGGCAGCACTGCACCGAGAGACTGTGCAGCCAGCAGTGGCATGGCACAAACTGATTGTGCAGCCAGTGGTGACCTGGCACCCATGGATGGTGCAGCCGGTGGTGACATGACACCAATTGATCGTGCAGCCAGCGATGACATGGAACCGGTTGATGTCACAGCAACCTCGGACATGGCACCGACTGATGACACAGCAACCACGGACATGGCAGCAATTGATTGTGCAGCCAACTGTGTCATGGAACCTACTGATGACAGCACTGCACCCATTGATTGTGCAGCCAGTGGTGACATGGAACCGGTTGATGGCACAGCAACCTCAGACACGGCAGTGATTGATGGGACAGACACCACCGACATGGCAGCAACCGATTTTGCAGCCAACTGTGACGTGGCACTGGTTGATAGCACGGCAACCTGTGACATGGCACCATTCGATGGCACAGCCACCTCTGCCATCGCACCAATGGATGGCACAGACAGCTCTGACACGGCACAGGCCGAGGGCATAGAAACTTCTGACCTGGCACCGATGGATGGCACAGCCACCTGTGACACCGCGCTGACCGACACCGACACAAGCTCTGACACGGCACCAACTGCTGTCAGGGCTGACGCCACGACTGAGGGCATCGCAGACACTGACTGCACGCCCATGCAGAGTGTGGTACAGCCTGACACCAGCGTAGCCGAGCTCGAGGCAGAGCCTGATGTCAGCATTGCACCAATAGATTGTGCAGCCAGTGGTGACGTGGCATCCATGGATTGTGCAGCCAGCAGTGACATGGAACCAATAGATTGTGTAGCCAGCGGTGACATGCCGCTGACTGATGGCACAGCAACCTCAGAGATGGCAGCAACTTATGGCACAGAGACCACCGACATGGCAGCAATCAATTGTGCAGCCAACTGTGCTGTGGCACTGGTTGACAGCACAACAACCTGTGACATGGCACCATTCGATGGCACAGCCACCTCTGCCACGGCACCAATGGATGGCACAGACAGCTCTGACATGGCACAGACCGAGGGCATAGAAACTTCTGACATGGCACCGATGGATGGTACAGTCACCTCTGCCATGGCCCCAGTGGATGGCACAGCCACCTCTGACACGGCACAGACTGAGGGCATAGAAACCTCTGACACAGCACCGATGGATGGCACAGAAACCTCTGACACGGCAGCAGTTGAGGACACACAAATTTTTGACCTGGCACCGATGGATGGCACAGATACCTGTGACACCGCGCTGACTGACACCGAGAGAAGCTCTGACACGGCACCAACTGATGTCGGGGCTGACGACACGACTGAGGGCATCGCAGACACTGACTGCACGCCCACGCAGAGTGTGACTGATGCTCCCAGTGTGGACGTTTTGGAAGAGAAAACTGCCTCCAATCCAAATGAAGTAAGCAGCCTGTGGCCAGGGCTAGAGCCCCCCAGGGGTCTTGTGGTCCCCGGAGCCTTTGAGGCCAGCAGAGTGTGGTGGGAAGGGAAGCCCTTCCCACACCAAGCTGGGCAACCTGCTGGCTCTGGCAGCTCTCCAAGTGTCCCCCACTCCCCTCCAGGTGCCGGCCAGCGTCAGCCCCATCCACCAGTGGCTCACGTGCCGGGAGTCTGCAGAGGTCAGGCCGCCCACTGCCATCCGCAGGCTGGCCCAGGCACACCCTGGGCAGGTGGTGACGACTCTCCTGCGCTGTGCCCCAGCGTGTGACAGGTACAGGGCCCAGCTGCTTTGCTGCCTCAGGGCTCACCAGCCTTTCCAACCCAGCCCCCTGCCCAGCCTGTCCCTCCTGCTCTGACAGACTCACCCACAGTTCCAGGACCCTCTGACCCCTCCAATTCCCAGCCCTGACCTGTCAGTCCCCGATCCTGCTGCCATGTGCCCTCCCTGCCCCTCAAGGCACCGTGGCTCTATCACCTGGGCCCCCACAGCTGCCACGGCCCAGACCCCCCTGACCCAGAGTTCTGGCTCCACAGAGCTGCTGCAATCCTGTGGAGGACCATCGCCTCCTCAGCCACCACAGTGCACAAGGTGCTGCCAACACTGCTGGGGGTGATGGAGGACTGGCCACTGCACAGCGTGTCCACCTCCAACGGGGACCACGAGGACGTCTTTGCCCTGGCTGTGAGTTTCTGGAAGTGGCCTCTGCTCCTCCCCACGTCGCCTCTGCAGCGACTCTCCATCCTCCCCCACTGCTGCATCTCCCTCAGGCCTTGGGCTGCAAATGGGGCTGAGGGGCAGGTTCAGGGGCAGCAGGACGGCTGCTCCCCCTGGCTCTCCCTGGCCTCTCCCTCCCTCTGGGCACTGATGATGTGTCTGTGTGGCTTTCTTGCAGGCAACCCTGGCCCTGTGGCTGATGGTCCAGGAGCCCCAGTGCCAAGATCCACTCTTGGTTCATGCCCCTCGTCTCCTCCTGGCTCTGCTCTGTCAAGTTTCTATGTGCACAGAGGAGATACCACAGGAGGTCAGCACCTTCTGGAGGGGAGTCCAGGAGCAACACGGCCTTCCCACCCAGCCCAACAGGTGCTCCATGCCCGTCCCCTCTCCCTGCCGTGCCCTGGGGGCTGGGGCCAGGGCTCCCAGCATGACGTGGCCTTTGCTCTGCACACAGCTTTGTGGTCCAGACCATCCAGGCCCTGCTCTGGCGGCTGCAGTGGGACCAGGAGCTGGTGTCAGTGGAGCGCAAGCGTGGCTGGGACGCGCTGCTCTCTGCTGACACCCACCACTACGCAGTGGGGCTGCTGGCCAGGTGAGACAGCCTTGTCCCCGCTGCCCCCGGCACCTCTGCCCTGGGCACGGGGCAGCCCACACAGCCCCCGTGGGCGTGGGACAGAGGGCCTTGGCCCCGAGGGACGGCCCAGCCAGTGCTGGCAGAGCTTTGCCCACCCGACTGAGGGCCGAGGGTTCCCTTTTTGCCCTGACAGGGAGATGCGGCGCGTGTTGGTCCCCTCCTATGGCCCACTGGCAAGGCACCTGCTGGGGCTGCTCAGCAGGGAGGGGCCCCGCTGGGAGCTGCCTGCCCTGGCCTTCCTTGTCGAGGTGAGCCTGATGGCCAGCGCTGCCTGGCCCGCCTGCCTCCCCCTCTCTGCCCTCTGGCAGCCGCAGCTGCCCGGGACGGTGCCTGTGCCCTGTGCTGCTGCCTGGGCACAGCCCTGGCCGGCTCCGCGCTCCTGCCGCCCGGCCACCCCGGCACTGCTCTCTGCCTTCCAGGTCCTCGACTATCTGGACGTCAGCACCGGCCACGACAGTGTCCTGCGGATCCTGGCAAGGCACCTGCAGAGCCAGTGCCCAGAGAGGCGGCGCCTGGCTCTGCGAGGGCTCCTGGTGCTCAGCGTGGATCCCTCCATGGTGAGAAGGGGGAAGGGGCTGAAGCCACATGGGCAGCCTGGGGCTGAGAAGGGCAGTGGCTTGGCCTTGGCTGGGCTTCGGGAGCTGCTCCCAGCTCTCCTGCCTCCCTCTCCAGCTGCCCAGGCCCTGTGGGACAGGCCTTTGGCCTCTGGGCCCCGGGGCAGCAGCGTGGGCTTGCAGTGCCAGAGTGGGGTTGGTGGGGCAGCTGTTCAGGGCTTCCCAGCACAGCCTTGTGTTCCACACAGGCCAAAGGAATCTGCAGCCTGTCTGAGCATCTCCTGGAGCTGCTGCGTGATGGAGATGGAGAGCTGGTCGGGATGACCCTCTCCCTGTTCCGGAATGTGCTCCAGGATGAGGAAGACAGTGCAGAATTCAGCTCCACTGCCCTGAGGCTGGTTGAGGTGCTCCGGCCAGTCTTTGACAATGTAAGGCTCTGTGCTCAGCCACAGATGTTGGGTGCTGCCAGGAATCTTGGGGGGGTTTCAGATCTGGGCCTGTTGGGCATGGAGCAGGTAGTGCTGAGTTCTTTGTGTCTTCTTTGGCCCCAGGACAACAGCCACGTGCAGCTGCTGTCCATTCGCCTCTTCCGAGAGGTGATGGAGTTGCTGGCGGAAGAGGGAACAGAGCCCTGGGAGGTGCAGGTGCGCCAGAGCCTGGTCCCACTGTTCTTCCGCTGGCAGGACGAGAACCAGCGCGTGGCAGAGGTGAGCACTGCTGGGCTCTGGTGTCCCCGGGCCAGGGGCTGGGCTGCCTCCTGCCCTGGGGCCTCAAGGGCTCCAGCCTCCTGCTGGCCTTGGAGCAGGGACGCAGGGGCTGTGCCCTGGGCTGTGGTGCCATGCCCCGCTCTCTGCTGCTCTGCAGGCCGCTCGGGAAGCGCTGCTCTGGGCTGCAAGCTTCCTCCACAGGAAGGACCTGGAGCAGCTGCTGAAGACGGAGCAGCCCTTCAGGTTCTGTGACTGCCTGGTAAGGACGAGCGCCAAGGCCCAGCCCCAGGCTGGAGAAGCCCCCGATGCCCAGTGTGCGGGGCTGGCCCTGTGCCCCTGCCCACTGCTGCCCCACAGACACCCCCCTGCTCTCTGCAGATGGAAAAGGACGTGAGCGGAAGGGGCCAGCACCTGCACCAGGCCCTGCCCTACCTGCAGAGCCCACAGGAGCCCCTGCGAGAGGCGGCCGTCAGGTTCATGGGTGAGCCCCAAGGCCGCGGTCCCTCCCCGTCCCGCTGCAGCTCGGCCCCGGCCCCGGCTGGGGGGAGCTGTGCCCCTGGGCCCTGACAGCCTCTGTGTTCCCAGGGGTCGCCGGCTGGCACATGAGGGAGGAGCAGCAAGACCTGTGGCCCATCCTCAAGGGTGAGTGAGGGCAGCGGGGCCTCCCTGGGGGCTGCCGGGGACCAGCACAGACCCTGGGCAGGGAGCTGCAATCCCTGCCCCGCCTGCACAGGGCTCTGCTCCCTGCACGCCGTGGCCAGAGCACACACACGTGGCAGGGGCAGGGTGCCCATGGGTGCCCAGCACCTTCCCGCTCATCCTCTTGGCCCCTGCTCCCTCCTGGCCGTGCCAAGAGCTGCCCGGCACGGCCCTGGCAGGAGGGGCTCCTGGGGTCCCCGCACAGCCGCGCTCTGACCCCGGCTCCCTTCCTCTCTCTTCCAGCCCTTGCAGCCATGAGCGAGGACGACTGCCCCTCCACATCCAGCATGAGAGCTGCATTCATGGCCACTTACAGCCGTGCCATCAGAACTCCACCTGCCCCGCTGAGACGACCAATGTCCCTGCAACAGCCCCCCACCACAGCCCAGGGACCACTCCTCAGCGCGGCTGCAGCTGCAGCTGATGCTGGGCCCAACTGAGCCAGCCCGCAAGGCCAGGTAGCTCCTGGCCTCTGCAGCCCCAGGGACGGCTCCCTCCCTTCCATTCCCTTCTCTTCACCCCACTTCATCCCTCCCCTTCCCCTGACCTTAATAAACATTCACTTTCTCCCCTTTATCTGTGTCTTGGTGCAACTGAAAGGGCACAAACCCTCAGCCCTGCAGCTCACGGGCCCACTTCTGCCTTTCTTTTGCCCCTTGTGCCGTGGGCACACACCCCCAGGGACACGGGAGCTCATTATTCTGAACCCCTGGATCATTTAAATACGTAGCACGACACTTGCTGATAGAATAATAATAAATCAATTAAAATTAAAATTAAAGAAATTATAAAATTAACACAGAGCAACTTGTTATCCTAAAGCCACGGATCTGAGCCCGTTTTTATCTTCCCATGAAATCCATCCCAGTGATTGGGAAAGGGGCAACACCAGCTATCCCAGATTCCCAAAGTTCACCTCCTGGAGCATCCCCAGTCCCACCAAGTTTTCTTGAAGTATGTAGCACGACATTTGCTGATATGATGATGATAATAATAATAATAATAATAATAATAATAATATTAAAATTAAAAAAGAAAAAAATGACAAAAATAAGAGGGAGCTTGTTATTCTGAACCCCTGGATCAACCCCCTGGTTGCTGCCCAACCTCCGGAGAGGAGATTATTCCATGAACCCTCTGAGGGAGCACTCGAAAGTTATTGGGAGAATAATTTGTTCTTTAATGTAAAAAAACCGAGAAAGTGCAGAGGCAGCAAGAAGGGAATTAAAATAACCCTTTCGGACACTAAAAAAAAAATCCCTTAAAAATGAAATTCCTGAAAGGAGGGACCAACAGAGCTGTTGGATTGACAGGGGATCATTCCCAACCCCTAATCCAGCATCTGTTATCTCCAAAAACACTCTGCAACCAAATCCCTGTGCTCTGGAGCAAAGTGTGCTGTGAAAAACACCCCTATTAATTGATTCCACCAATTAACTGCTAATCCAAGAGCCCTGATTATGATTAGCCTCCCAATCAATCCGTTTGATAGAAAGCTCTTTAAATTTGCCAAATTGCACCTCAGCTCTTCCCTCTCTCTCTCTTTTTTTTCCACTTGTTTTATCTAATTAACTGCTTTTTCCAGCAGTGAAAAATGAGATTTTTTCTTAATTGCCTCTTGACCCTTCCCCACTCTCCCATGTTCTTGCCTTTGGAGGTTCTTCATCAGGAGAAAATGAAAATGCTCTCCAGGAATTCAAAATGTTGTTGGGTTGGGCCCAGAGGAAACTTCCTGGCACAGGCTGCGAATCCTTTGGAATGATGTTTACACAGCTTTTTTCCAGGGAATATCAGGCTCCTCTGGATACAGGATGGGCCTTCAGGCAATACAGGGAGATGAACCTCCCTGGAACTTCTGCACAAATTGTTGGGATTGACATCAAAACTGAGGAATGTGAGGTCCAGGAGGGAGCTGTGCTGCCACTGGAGCAGCCCAGGTGTCCCTAAATAGCCATGGAATTATTGGGAAGAGTCTCAGTGTGGCCTCCAGCTCTGGAGTCCAATATCAGAGGGATGTGGAGCTGCTGGAGCGAGTTCAGAGGAGGCCCTGGAGAGGCTCCAAGGGCTGGGATGCAATTCCTGGCTGGGAGAGTAGGGAGGGGCTGGAATAGAATTCCCAGAGAAGCTGTGGCTGCCCCTGGATCCCTGGAAGTGTCCAAGGCCAGGTTGGAGCAACCTGGGCTGGTGGAAGGTGTCCCTGCCCATGGCAGGGGTGGAATGGGATGATCTTTAAGATCCCTTCCAACCCAAACCATTCTGGGATTCCATGATTTCTTCACATCCTTTACATCTTCTCTATTAAATCCAGACAGACTTTCCACATGATTTCAAGTCCCAGAATTACTGGTGAAGGAATTCCTGGTTGAACCATCCTCAGAGCCACAGATTTACAGCCCTGGGATGGGGGAATATCCTTTATATGGGTGTTCCCATTAATGGGAATCCATCAAGGGTGGAGCCAGTCTGGGAGAGCTGGGAGGGTTCACCTGGAGAAGAGAAGGCTCCAGGGAGAGCTGAGAGCCCCTTGCAGGGCCTAAAGGGGCTCCAGGAGAGCTGGAGAGGGACTGGGGACAAGGGATGGAGGGACAGGACACAGGGAATGGCTTCCCACTGCCAGAGGGCAGGGAGAGATGGGAGATTGGGAAGGAATTCCTGGCTGGGAGGGTGGGGAGGGGCTGGAATGGAATTCCCAGAGAAGCTGGAGTGGAGATGGATGGAGATCTGAACATATCTAAGGACACAGATCTGCTGGGATGGGTCCAGAGGAGGCACCAGGATAATCAGAGGATGGAGCAGCTCTGCTGGGAGGAAAGGCTGGGAGAGCTGGGATTGTTCAGCCTGGAGAAGAGAAGCCATATCAAAACCTTTTAATTTCCAAACAAATCTCATATTCACTTCCTCGATCCTTGTCCTTCTTCCAGCCTTTTTTAGGGTAATTTCTGACCACGTGGATCAGGTTTGGGACCCAATTCATGGTTATTTTTCATGAGTCCTTTATACTAAATTAAACAACTTATTCCTCTGATTTCTTTGCTCTGAATTAAATAACATTATTCTGATTTCTTAGCACTGGATTAAATGATTACTCCGATTTTTTAACACTGAATTAAATAACTTATTCCTCTGATTTCTTTATTCTCAATTAAATAACTTATTCCTTTGATTTCCTAACATTGGATTAAATAACTTATTCCTCTCATTTCTTTGCTCTAAAATAAATAGCTGATTACTCTCATTTCTTTACACTGAATTAAGTAAATGAGTACTCTGATTTCTTTACTCTGAATTAAACAACTTATTGTTCTGATTTCTTTGCACTGAATTAAATAATTTATTCCTCTGATTTTTTTACACTGAATTAAGTAACATATTCCTCTGATTTCTTAACACTGAATTAAATAACTTATTCCTCTGATTTCTTTACACTGTATTAAACAATTCATTCCTTTGGTTTCTTAACGTTGGATTAAATAACTGATTACTCTGATTTCTTTGCTCTGAATTAAATAATTTATTCCTCTGATTTCTTTACACTGAATTAAATAACTTATTCCTCTGATTTCTTAACATTGGATTAAATAACTTATTCCTTTGATTTCTTTACACTGAATTGAATAACTCATTCCTCTGATTTCTTAACACTGGATTAAATAACTTATTCCTTTGATTTATTTACACTGAATTAAATAATTAATTACTCTGATTTCTTAACACTGAATTAAATAACTTATTTCTCTGATTTCTTAACACTGGAATAAATGACTGATTCCTCACATTTCTTTACTCAATTAAATAACTTATTCCTCTGATTTCTTTACTCTGAATTAAATAACTGATTACTCTGATTTCTTTACACTGGATTAAACAATTTGTTCCTT